GTGTGTGTGTGTGTGTGTGTGTACGCGTTTTTGTGACAAATGAGGACATAAATTTGTATAATGACAAAGGTATGACATAGGTATTACAAGGAGAAGGTGACTTTTCAGGACATTACCCCATGTCCCCACTTTTCAAAACGCTTATAAATCACACAGAATGGAGTGTATTGAAAATCTGAAATAGCAGAAAGTCTCCTGTGAGGGGTAGGTTTAGGGGTAGGGTTGGTGTAGGGCAATAGAATATACGGTCTGTACAGTATAAAAACCATTACGCCTATGGAGAGTCCCCACTTTTCACAAAAACAAACCTGTGTGTGTGTGTGTGTGTGTGTGAGTGTGCGTGTGTGGGAGTGAGCGAGTGAGCGAGTGAGTGTGTGTGTGTGTGTGTTATGAAGCATCCTGAGAGACAGCGGGGCGAGTGGAATTTCATGAAACAATGCAGACCTCTAGAAATCTATCCCTGGAGCTCCTCATTGAGCCAGACTGCTTTTATGGACGTGTGTATTTGTGTTTGAATCTTTAAATAGGTGCTAAACCTGAGGAAGTGGCTCTGATGAATGGACTGACAGTCAATCTGCATCTTCTGATGGTAAAAACAAAAAAAAAATTCTGCATACACATTTTTAAATATTCCTCTTTTTATTATCCTCTCAGCTTTCCTTCTACAAACCGACTCCGAAACGCTATAAGATTCTTCTAGAAGACAAGGCCTTTCCATCAGATCACGTATGTAAACCTAAACTAATGTTATTAACATTATTTTGAACATAGGTGTGCATTAAAAGCATCGGTGTGTTTGTGTGAATGTGCAGTACGCCATTGAATCTCAGATCCGGCTGAGAGGACTGGACGTGACCGACAGCATGCTGACCATTGCACCCAGACAGGTAATGACATCACTTCCTCTCAGTGTGGGCGGTGTGGCAGGAAGTGCTCTGTGAGCGTGTGGATTGGCTGTTTCAGGGTGAAGACACCATCAGGACGGAGGACATCGTGTCGGTCATCGAGCGGGAGGGCGAGGCCATGGCTCTGGTCATGCTCAGCGGCGTTCAGTATTACACCGGTCAGCTGTTCGACATGGAGGCCATTACCAGAGCAGGACACGCCAAGGTCAAACGGTCATGGACCGCGCTTTTCGTGGCAATGAATGTCATCAGAGATTAAGTGATTATACACTAGTCAACATCTGAAGTGCATCAAAACCTTTCATCCAAGTTGTCCTAAAACCAAAATGCGTCAAACTTTTTTGATCCACTTCAAATGTTGACTACTGTATTTGCTTCCGTCGAGGCACATATGAGTGTGATTTCAACAAAGAAATGTATCTATCCCATAATCCCAAAAAAGAGACCCACCAATCAATAGTTCCTGTTACCATGAACAGGCTCAATGACGACCGTTCACTCATATCGGGGTTAGGGTTGCAGACAATTTCTGGTAAATTTGTGGAAACATTGCCGTTTAAGTAGAGTATTACACCGGTCAGCTGTTCGACATGGAGGCCATTACCAGAGCAGGACACGCCAAGGTCAAACGGTCATGGACCGCGCTTTTCATGGCAATGAATGTCATCAGAGATTAAGTGATTATACACTAGTCAACATCTGAAGTGCATCAAAACCTTTCATCCAAGTTGTCCTAAAACCAAAATGCGTCAAACTTTTTTGATCCACTTCAAATGTTGACTACTGTATTTGCTTCCGTCGAGGCACATATGAGTGTGATTTCAACAAAGAAATGTATCTATCCCATAATCCCAAAAAAGAGACCCACCAATCAATAGTTCCTGTTACCATGAACAGGCTCAATGACGACCGTTCACTCATATCGGGGTTAGGGTTGCAGACAATTTCTGGTAAATTTGTGGAAACATTGCCGTTTTTTTTTTACTTTTAGAAAATTTTGAACATTTTTGGAAAGTTTTAGGAAATTTACCAGAAATGATTTGCCCCTTTGCAACCCTAATTGGGGTTGATGTAATTGATTAATAGATGCATAAGAAGTTTGACCTCTCCATCCTCCCAAACTACTTATTTATCTGTATTACGGGTGTAATGGTACACGTATTCGTACCGAAAATGTTTGGTACAGGTCTTTTAGTTCAGTACGCACGTGTACCGAACAAATTATTAAATTTTTTCAGAAAATTCAGACAAATTAATTCAGTTTTGGTGCTCTTTGATGAGGCGTGATATATCGCTGTATAAATGACTCCGTTATTTTATGCAACAAGTTATGACAGCCACTTTATAAAATGATTAAATTTCAACAACAAATAGAAATTGTATGATATAAAAGGTAATTAAAAACTGCATTGAGTGCAATGTACATGCTTGCATACATTTTTTTAATTGTGTTGATTATTATAGTTAAAAATAAATAGTAAATAAATTTAAGTTTGGGCTCTCTTGTTAATTGTGACCTTATAGCAATATAAAAGGGCTACTTATAGTTTAGAGCAGAAGCTGAGGGAGATTTTTTATAGATGTTTTAAAAATATATTTTATTAGGTAGATTTAAACAACATTTTCATTATAATTTAATTTATTTAAAGAAAGAGCAATTTGTTCAGTAAAACATTGTTTAATTAAACAAAATATATGTTTAGTATTTTTTCCTCCTGCTTTAGCGAAACCATACCGAACTGTGATGTCAAACCTGAGGTACAGTACGTACAGAACCGTCATGTTTGTGTACTGTTACACCCCTAATCTGTATGTCTGAATATTTTAAAATTGCATTTTAAAGAGTGTCGATTAATATTGTAAATCACATTTGTGAATTGACAACATCCTTAATGATGCTTCACTGGAGTTCATTTAATCACTGAAATTAATACTAAAATAAGCAATATTTAAAAAATGTTATTCAAAGTTTGCAGTGTTAGTTGCTTTTGTTCGTGGCTTAAAATATTAAAACTTAAAAATAGATTTTGTACATGCATATAGGAAAAGTACTTCTACTATAAATATCATTTTTATTAATTATAAATGTTTATTATTGTTTTATTATTGCTGCTTAGAAAAAAAAAAACGGCTCACATATGCGCTCTAAAAAATGCTGGGTTTTTTCAATCCAACTTTGGGTCAAATATGGACTAACCCAACTGCTGCGTTACATTTTTAAATTACATTTTTAACCCAAAAGTTTGGTTAGTCCATATTTGACCCAAAGTTGGGTTGAAACAACCCAGAATTTTTTCTACACACACATATGCCTTAATCCTGGTTTCAGAATGTCAACTTTATTTCTATAGCGCTTCATGCAAAGAACAGATTGTTTCAAAGCAGCTTCACAGTAATGAACAGGAAAACAACAATCACTGATCTTCAAATGTTTCACACAGAATGTGTGTGTGTGTTCAGGGGTGTTTGGTCGGGTTTGATTGTGCACATGCCATAGGAAATGCAGAAATGCAACTTCATGACTGGAATGTGGATTTTGCGTGCTGGTGCTCTTATAAGGTCAGTGTCCGTGTTGTGTTATGTTCATTAATTAATTTTTATTTATTGTTGTTTTATATTTATTGCATTAGTGTTGAATGTGTGGTGCATCATTGTTAGTGGTGATTAGTGTGTGTTTTATTCAGTATGTGAACTCAGGGGCCGGTGATCTGGCTGGAGCTTATATACATGAGAAACACGCTCATAGCGTCAAACCCACGTGAGTATCACACATACGCTCTTTAACATGCTTACAGATAAAATAAAGCTCATGAGATGCTCATGCAGTGTGTGTGTGTGTGTGTGTGTGAGTCAGTCTGACGGGCTGGTGGGGACATGATTTGAAGACCAGATTCCTCATGAACAACGGTATAACAATCCTGGTGGAATATCAGTCACTGACACAAACATTATTGTGATCACTGTAAGTTTTGTGGGATTGTGGGAGCTCATGGCCTGCTCTCTGCTGACATCCTGTGGACACAAATGTAGTTGCATTACACTCTGTAAAGCAGCTTTATATGTTGTAGATGCTTTTAATTATAGATTTTTGTCAAAAGTCAGTCCCAGTATATCTGCAATATAAAAAATAAATAAATACTAATATTTAAAAAAAAAAAAAGACTTGAAATACAACATATTTGCAACCTTCATACAACATACCGACAACTTTCATACGACATACTGACAACCATTATACAACATGCTGAAAGCCATCTTACAACATACTGACAACAACTTATTGATAACCATCATACAACATACTGACGATGTACTGATAACAATCATACAACATATTATCAACCTTCGTACAACATACCAACAACCGTCGTACAACATACTAATAACCATTTTAAAACATACTGACAACCTTCATACAACATACTGACAACCTTCGTACAACATACTGACAACCATCGTACAACATAACGACAACCTTCGTACAACATACCGCCAACTGTTGTACAACATACTAACAAACATTTTACAACATACGGACAACCTTCATGGAACATACTAACAACCATCGTGCAACATACCGACAACCTTCGTACAACATAACTACAACCTTCATACAACATACCAACAACCTTTGTACAGCATAACGACAACCATCGTACAACATAACTACAACTTTCGTACAACATACTGACATACAACATACTAACAACCATCGTACAACATACTAACAACCATCGTACAACATAGTGACAACCATCGTACAACATAACTGCAACCTTCGTACAACATAACTACAACTTTCGTACAACATATTGACAACCATCGTACAACATAACGACAACCTTCGTACAACATACCGCCAACTGTTGTACAACATACTAACAACCATTTTACAACATACGGACAACCTTCATGGAACATACTAACAACCATCGTGCAACATACCGACAACCTTCGTACAACATAACTACAACCTTCATACAACATACCAACAACCTTTGTACAGCATAACGACAACCATCGTACAACATAACTACAACTTTCGTACAACATACTGACAACCAACATACTAACAACCATCGTACAACATACTAACAACCATCGTACAACATAGTGACAACCATCGTACAACATAACTGCAACCTTCGTACAACATAACTGCAACCTTCGTACAACATAACTACAACTTTCGTACAACATATTGACAACCATCGTACAACACACTAACAACCATCGTACAACATAACGACAACCTTCGTACAACATACCGCCAACTTTTGTACAACATACTAACAACCATTTTACAACATACTGACAACCTTC